TTTTGGCTGGAAGTTTTCCAAGGCAACACTACTTAACTGTCCTTCGTTGCAGAGAGAATCCACGTCCCAGATGACCTTAAATGTCTTTTTTATGCAAAGTACCTACCTCATAATTCGATCCGAGATGACTAGGATTTATGCTCTCCCACATATCTCAGAACCACCGATAGACATAAATCTACCTTCTAACTGTTCTATCCGAAATTCAGCCTAGTCCGTTGCACTTTTGTCTTATTTAGGGCTCGTATACAGCTCGATGCAAGCTTGTTTTCTTAGCAGCATTTATTAAGAACATTGTCAGTGGACCAAAAACAAGTCTTCTGCAATCTCACAAATTTAACTTCCCAAGGTAAGAATGGCTACACCATGTCACTAAAATTGACTCCGCTCTCGGCGCACTGTATACGATTCCATCACTGATTTTGTCGTTTTCGACTTCATTTCGAGTCCCAAATGAGTGCAGTAAACCAGCGCACCTTGCTTCCCATGATGTCATTGTTGCTCGAGTTAGTGCGATTATCATGTAAACACATTGCAAAGGCTCATAGCCTCCTCACGGCGTTTTATCTGGTTGCAGATATTTCTGACTGAAAATGCTTGGTTTTTTTTGCGGAACTTTTGTAGTCACATGAATTGACTTTTCAAAGGATGCAGTCACGATCTACGCAAAGCAACTACGGTCAACCTTTAATGAAAACTTCCAAAAACCAGATTTAAGGATAAACAGACAGCCTGAAGATTCTGAGAAAAATTAGCTATGCCGCGAATTCGAAAGGTATAATTTTCTCTGCGTTGTACGGTTTCCACCAAAGCTCTTATGATGGACAAACATTCCCAGGTGAAGATTGTGTGTTGACGCGATTTTGGTATATTCCGGAATCCACACATAAACTATCAGAGCTGAAAAACATGGCGTTGACCATGGTAGACAATGATTTATCAAACCAAGTATGTTATATTCGGCGGATGAACCAAAATTTTCCCATGGTATTTGTCCTTCAAGAAACCTATCAGTGGAATACTTACGAAACGGACCAGCGCTTTTTAAGGAAATTCTTGGTTTGGTGCGATAATTCATATGAGATTTGGTAATTTCGATGCGCATTAGTGCAACGACAGGCTGTCAAATTTCGTACGATTAAGCCATTGGAAAGTGACTGCTCAAATTACACAAAGTTACAGCCCTCTTAGTATAGTCAATTAGTACAATCGGATGAATCCATATTTCAAGAAAAAGCCGTAAAATCCTGTCCAGAACCACCATGTACACATGAAGGATCACGCCAAATCACTTTCTACTCCCCAGACGTTCCTGTAATTTTCAAAGGTAAGCTACTATCCGGACGTTGCTGCTCTCAGAATGTTCCCGAGAAAAGAAGCTTCGTATGACTAATTGTCACAATATTACTAAAACGGACTATTCAACGGCATCAGTATGATCAAATTCGATCCACTTTGAGCAGCATGGTCAGGATGTGTTCCGTATAATTGTGACGTTTCACGTTTCGAATGCAGGATTCTCATACATCCGCTTACTTATGACAACAAGCTTATCCTTGGTCACCTGGCCTTACTTTCACCTAATGTATTAGTATTACAAATCGTATGTTGCCGACGCTTGACTGGTTCTGTATTTGAATAGAGCACGACAAACAAAAGAAAATACTAGAGCACCACCAGTGTCCTTGGTGTGCCAAAGAATCTTGCCCGATACGTAAAAGGTGAATAAGAGCCCACAGCTTTTAAATGCGAGATGATGCTGTGTAATCCCGTAAGATTTTTAAAACGTCGATACATATTCTGAACATTACTTGAAGAGATACAAGTCTAGCAATGCAATCCCGCCTTTCCGACTTGTCTGAGTATAGAAAGCACGCCAAGTTTTCATGTGATGATGTCCTATCAGATTGCCAGATTGTCAACTTTTCCATCAGTTGCTGATGCACAGAGGATGTTGGTGGCTTGTCCATATCACAGCTACAGGGATTCGGGAGTGCTTTCCTTGAAACCCCTCACTCCCACCTGCCCTGTCATGTTCTCTGCATCTATAGGTCTCCAATACTGCGAATTAGGTTTGGAACGTAACACTTATCTGCCTAGGTGGTAACTCATCTTGTGTTACACAAAGCCCAGCCACTTTAGCAGAGGTGGGTAAAGTCTTTGGTTGAAGTATCGTTCGATTCCACAGGAAACTCGTCTCCTGATAACCTCATTTTCTATCCATTGGTTTCAGCGGATTTTAGCTGTTGATCTCAGAAACCACTGGTGGGACACCCTGATATTTCGTAGGTCCTTCATCAAAGGTGACCAAGTCTAGCGTTCTCAAAACAATACGGCCAACATCGTAGCTGGAAATGCGCTTCTTTTGGGATCAAGTTATATTTCGCTTTGATCCCACAAGCTGCACAACTAGGCACAAACAATTCTGTATATTGAGATTCGTGTGTTGCTTGCGTCTGTCTCATCTCGGTCACAACGAATGCACGTTCTCAGACATGCATAGAGGCGGTGGAACACTCACTAATTTTTTTCATTGAGAAGGCATGCATTTAGGCTCACCCGGAAAAAGGAGTCATCTCAAAGATTTTTCAGTCCCTTTTTACATGAAATGTCTGAGGAAGAAATCTTAGACACTTTGTCGGAAGTTAAAACGAGTACGGAATTCGTTACCGTTGATGGACAATATTCACACCCGGGCGACCATGAGTTTTCACGTAGCTAAAGTAACTGTGTATATTGGGTTCTGTTAGATGGGTAGTAATGCGACAGACGAGAGAAAGAAATCTACGACACATTGAACGATCGCTTAGAGTTTATTTCTAGAGCCAGTGAACCTATGCTCTTAGGGTGCACAGTCTGAAGACCGAGGAATCTAACAGAAGGCTGAAAAACACCAAAGCATCAATCCTTTAATGCTCTAGCCGACGAAATCTTGGTATGCTCCATCTGGGACCGATGATATTCCGATATTCTTAAAGAAAATATCTCTGAAGACCATCTCAGAGTCCTAAGTGGAGATAGCACGAATAACACCATTTTTCACTGTGTCAGACGCAACAAAATCTTCAGAAACAACATCAACGGCACTTTTCGTAGACTTTACAAAGGCCCTAAATTTGGCAAAGGAGGTGTAACTATCTAACATATTGTCCCATATCTCTGCGGTGGCAACACTATCCGACCACCTTACTGTGGAGGTTGGAATCTATCGTTTTCAGGTTGCACAAATAGCTAAGCTGGTTTCGCCTCGTAAATCGAATGACTGATATCCGTATCCCGAAACATTACCTTTATAATCAGGTACAAGTTGGTGTTCACACTCATAGACCGTCAAATTTCTGCCATTGTGACACTACCAGATGCATTTTTAATACTCATGACTCTTTCAGATCTCAGGAATAACTGACGCTTCTCATGAAGCCCACACATACTTGAAGAGCTCACAGTCGTGACTAATCTCAAATCTCGAATGCAATCTCAAGACGCTAGACGGTCATCCAATTTTAGGTGTAGCCGCGGCCATCTGAAGGTGTGCACGCATATGCCGAAAATACAATCAGACTAACCAGCCAGCATCCCAATTGCATCAGATATCGTGGGAGGATTGGCGATCCACTTAGATAGGCTTCTAGGTTATCTGGTCGAAATGTCCCAATCCCGGTGTTTGGTGTCATGCAATTTTACTCATGTCGGTCTGTGGCTCTGGTCGGGATTTGCGTGTTTCCCTGCCTCTTGATTCGCCACGAGCTCTCGTGCGGCACAGTGAGGTTTGCGCGCAAACCGCATGACGTTAGCCTACTTACAACAGAATCTATTCCTATGGCTAACCGGTAAAATCATTTTGAATGCCTGGTAGCCATCCATGCGCACTTGGAGGAAGACCTACATTCTGGCCGAAAAGCGAGCAAGCTTAGCGCAATTACAGTAGAGTACTTTACTAAAATATGCGCCTCGTAAACCTTTATTGTTGCCTCCTGGGGACATGAAAATTGATCGAGCATGTCCAAGTATGGAGAACTACATTGCGCACTGAAATTCCTCGTCATTTCAACTAATTAGTTGGAGCATTATTCGGTCATACAGTTCATCACACTACCGAAACGTGGAGTAATTACAGCAAGATAATAGGAAGGATGAGAATCGACCATATAGTTATCACTGGTAAACTGACCAACCTCAATTAGGCAGTAAGATCACATCATTAGGATCGTATGCTTTTTAGCAAAGTAAGATTAACGGCTATAGTTTTTTTCCAAGAAAACACATTTCATAGTTGGTTGGGTTGGGGCTAATGTTGACAGTTAGAACATGTTTTGTAGCGCTAATTGTATTGCTCTGCAATCCGTAATGAGATCAAATCTGTTTAATTAACGGCTATAGTTTTTTTCCAAGAAAACACATTTCATTGGCAGTTGGGTTGGGGCTAATGTTGACAGTTAGAACATGTTTTGTAGCGCTAATTGTATTGCTCTGCAATCCGTAATGAGATCACTGAAATCTGTTTACGGGATAAATATTTCCAAATATTTCCAACCCGGACAAGTTCCTCTTATTGGGTAGAAAAATGCTGCGAGTTTTGAACCAGAAAATGTTTGACCAAATTCATAAAATATTTTCTCATATGTTCTCTGGTCTTCCACATCTGCGCTCTTCGTCAAGAAGCAATACAGACACTCCCGATAGCTCTATTGGTGTGATATGGCAGAGGTAATGGTGTAACGGTGATAATACTGATTAGGAAGGCAATCGAGTAGTATGTGTTGTTCGTAGAATTTCGCTTTGCGTCGATTGTAAAAGGGAATTCTGTTGCGGAATTCGTGGGGCCACTTTGTAACATTTGCTTGGATTTGACCGACGAATGAGTGATGGCAGTGAATCTCTAGGAAGACTCGTTCGGGAGAAGATCTGTGTCCAGTTTTTGTAACTAAAATGCAGATTAGAGTTTTGCTGCCCTGTTCAATGATCTGTAACCGGTCAGTTGGCATTTTCGAATAAATAACTCCGCAGCGAAGGCCTTCTTCCTTTCATTTGGTGCCGTCACCAGGATAGGGACGAAGATCCTGTGGCCGCAACCCTTTGAGGATGGGGATGTTCGGACCTTCCTCGAGGACTTTGAGGAGGTTGCGGACGCTGTCGGGCTGGAGTCTGACCGGGTTGTGGCTGTGCCTTCGGTTGCAGATTTCTGATTCCCTCCAGCAATCCCGATGCTATACTGTGTTCGACTTGCGTTCCGGATATTGGCAGCTACCTATCAAGGAGGAGGACCGGGAGAAAACGGCGTTTACGGTTGGGGACATCCAATATCAATTTAGACGAGTGCTATTTGGTTTGTCCTGGGCACCATTCACAGTCCGGCGCTTGTTGCTTCGTTTAACGAAGGGACTCCAGAATGTTGCCGTGTACGGAGACGATATCGTTGTGTACAGCAATTCGGAACCAGAGCACGTAGTTCACTTGGAGGCTATGTTGGGGCGGATCCGGGAAGCTGGTTTTCGGATAAATGAAGCCAGGACCCAGCTCGCTCGGAGTTTGTTGACACTGCTGGGGCATAAAGTGGGTCAGGGAGAAGTTAGTCCGCTGCCCGAAAAATTAGCAAGGATCAAGGATTGTGCTGTTCCCAATTCAAAGCGCTCTCTAAGTCAGTTTCTTGGACGAAGAGCATACTACAGTCGGTTCGTTAAGTAATTCAACAAGATCGCTGCACCACTGTACGATTTGCATGGTCAAAATCGGAATTTCGAATGGATCTTAGAAGCACATGAAGCATTTGAGCATGTCAAAGCGCGGATGTTGGATCAGCAACTGACCCTCAAACTGCCTAGAGTCGGAGATATGTTCATTGTTGCATCGGACGCCAGTGATCTCGGTATCGGCGCAGACCTAAAGCAGAGGAATGGAGCTATCGAATATGCCAGCCGCGTCCTGACTAACGCTGAGCAGAAGTACTCCACCATTGAGAAGGAATGTTTAGCGGTCGTCTGGGCCCTGGATAAGTGGAGACCATATTTGCTTGAGCAAAGGTTTCATGTCGAAACCGATCACAAACCCCTGGAGTGGATCCGGACCACCAGAGATCCTCGCGGGAAGCTCGCAAGATGGGCACTCCGGTTGCAAGAGTAC